GTTTCGATGTTTACATTACACCTGATCTTGAAATTTGATTGGTCAAAAATCACGAGAAGGAACGATATAGCACCCTTATTGCGTTCTGTTGGCAATCCAGTTTGTTATTGCAGATCATTCGCCTTTTGTCAACTCGATTGTTAATACGAACTTATTAATATTGTGAAGCTTGTGTTTTAAGCCACATTTTCTTTGATCAATTCTTGTTACAACCAGTAAGAACAAAAGCAATTACTGAATCATTCAAAAATATGGGCTAAAGGATTTTAGGTAAAATGAAAAAAATTTCTTGACTAGTTTTTTAATGCGATTTAAAATACGGTACTGTTAAAAATTAAATTGTAATTTTATTTATGGTATTAACACAAATATAATCGTATTTTGATTTTTTTTTAATAAAAACAAAAATCTTCATATTATTTTGGTACTACATTAATTATAGATATGTATAACATAATATAACAATAAGTGACAAAGTCAAGTACTGTACGTACGTACGTACGTTCCTGATTTCTACCAACAAAATTGTTCTATCAATCACTATACTAATTTAGGGATCGCTAAAGCGGGGTAAAAACCATAAGTAAAATTTCTGATGTACTTTTTTGATGCAACTATGGATATTAATTATAGATTTATCAAAAAATACAATTGTACAGTATTAGATCATATTGAATTCCCGCTTTAGTAAACACCTAATTTAGTTAAGTACGTTATACAAACTCAAATTACATGTGCAGTACCTGCAATGTGTTTCACATTTTTTATTATTTATTATTATTTATTATACAGTATGCAGATACGTATAAGAATTTAAAAAAATTGTTTCTAACGTTTAATCAACCTTTTACGTAAAATGTTAAAATTACCAAATGAATGTCTTATTAAAATATTAAGTAACCTTAAGGCTAAATATAGATGCTTATTTTCATGTCTTCTTGTAAGCCGCCTCTGGTGTAGAATTGCTGTACCAATATTATGGAGTGAACCAACGGAGTATTTCAACGATAAGAGACTTATAAGGATATATCTTTTATCATTAAATGCTGAAGAACAAACTCTGTTAGTTCCCTTTAAAATTAATCTTCCCAATTATCCAAAACCATTATTTGAGTATACAAGTTATACTACATCTGTTGGGATTTATTTACAAGAATGTGTCAAAACTTGGCTTAAAGATGAAGGATTTGGTGAGAAAAGACGTAAATTAATTTCTATTGACGACGAGTATGAGGGGTATGATTATTATGATGATATCTGGCCTATAAGTGCCGTTAAATGTTCTTTAATTGCATTATTTTTACGAACTAGTAAGAATCTTAAAATTTTAAGATTTGAAGGAGCTATTTACGACAAAAAGATGTTTCAATATCTTTATAGAAACCCTACCATTACTCATTTAGATTTTTATACCGACAAATTTGATTCTAAAGCATTAGAAATATTGGTAGAGGTTCTTTGTAAAAATACTACTCTTATTTCTTTAGATCTTTCTTATAATGAAATTAGTTCTAAGGGATGGAAAGCAATTGCAAGAGCTCTTAGCAAGAACGTCAATCTGACTCATTTAGATCTTTCTTTTGTTCAACTTGATTCTAAGGGAGGGAAAGAATTAGCAAAAGCTCTCTGTATAAATACTACCTTGACCTCTTTAAAGCTTTATTACAATTTACTTGGTACTGAAGACGCCGAAATATTTGCAGAAACCCTTCGTAAAAACGCCACTTTAACTGATTTAAATATTGGTAGTATTTCATTTTGTTCCGGAGGAATTAAAGTATTAGCTGAAGCTCTTTATAAAAATACTACTTTGACTTCTTTAAGTATTCCCTTAACTCAACTTGATTTTGAAGGTGGAAAAACATTAGCTGAAGCTCTTAGTGTAAACAATACTTTGACTTATTTAGACATTTCTAGTAATCAACTTGGTTCCGAGGGTGCGAAGGTAATAGCGGATGCACTTTGTAAAAACACTGTTTTAACTACTTTAAACTTTGGCCTTAACGACATTGGTTCTGGAGGGGCAAAAGCATTGGCAAAAGCTCTTTGTATAAATACCACTTTGATTTCTTTGAATCTTTTTAATAATCAACTTGATTTTGAAGGAGGAAAAGCATTGGCTGAATCACTTTACGAAAACGCTGCTTTAACTTTTTTGGATATTCATGATAATCAAGTTGGTTTTGAAGCTGCCGATGCATTAGCAAAAGCTCTTTGTAAAAATGCCACTTTAACCATTTTAAATCTATGCAAAAACAAACTTGGTTCTAGAGGAGTAAAGTCATTAGCAAAAGCTCTTAGCAAAAATACTACTCTGATTTCTTTAGATCTCTCCGATAATCAACTTGATTTTGATGCAGTAAAAACAATAGCGGATACCCTTTGTGTAAATACTACTCTAACTAATTTAAAGCTCCAGTATAGTAAACTTAGTTCTGAAAATGCGATAATATTATCGGATGCTCTTTGTAAGAACATGACTTTATCTACTTTAGATCTCAGCGGGAATCAAATTGGTTTTGAAGGGGCAAAAGCATTATCGAAAGTTCTTGGAATAAATACTTCTCTAACTTCTTTAAATCTTTCTAATAATCAAATTGATTTTGAAGGAGGAAGAGCATTGATAGAGGCACTCTGCAAAAATATTACTTTAACCTTTTTGGATATTTGTGAAAATAAAACTAGTTACAGAAATCAGAATATATTAAAATATATTCTTCGTACGAATACTACACTAGCTTCTGTTCGTTTTTCAATATATGATTGGTCTCCCGATAGTTGATTCAGTAACATTTAGATTATCATTTTCAATTTTACTGGGTTATATCGATGGATTTTTATTTATCTGGTTTGTTTAAAAAAACTTATCCAATAATTTCTTTGTGGATTTTTCAAATTCTCGCTTAATAAATTATAGAACATACAGGCTCACAAATTTATTTAGTTCCCTAAAATTTTAGTAAAGAATATGGTTTCATATATATGTTTATCTTTTCTCCCGAAAAATAAAATTTACAAGACTAAATAATTCATTATGTTAATTGTTCATCGACAAACAAGCTTCCATTTCTTTTACTAATAGAAACAATAAATCTTTTTTCTCAGACAAGAATGCTTTTTTGTTAGCAGCTAGTCATTCAGAATCATTATATTATTATTATAAGGGTTTGAAAGTTTTTGATGAACGGGAAAAATACTTCAAAGACTGAGTATAAAGGTAAAGGGTTAGAAATTCATATGCCAGAATTCTAAGGTATTAGAATTGAATTCGTAATTAAATTATATTAAAATTATGTGATTATTATTATGATTAGAAAGGTTATTAGTAAGAATCTATGCAGACAGTATACTGCATACCATCTAAATTTATCTTCGCAATTATTGCAGTAATTGTAATTCTTTTCTATTTGTTACCAGTTTGCATCATCCAGATATCTTTTAATTATGGCCAGTACGAACGATTGTTGAATCTATTTCCTCAAAATTAAGAATGAGGGTTAATTATTAATAGTTGACCGTACTTTAACATTGGCAAAGGCGAATACTGTCTGTCATCAGAATAGCAAGTACGTTCTGTAACAAAAATGTTTAATGGCGAGTTCAGTAATCGAATTTTTCATAATAGAAATCACGATAATTCCAATGCAAACTAGACCTTATCCACATATTGTGCGCCATCAAAATAGCAGTAAGCTCTATAACAATAGATATCAATAACAATTCAATGCAACCCAATGTATTTCCGGAATGACGAATAAGTTCTGTTACAGAATTTTTTTTACCGTAACTCCCAATAACTTAATGGGAGTTTACATATAAGGGCCTGAAAATGAAAAGAATTACAAATAAGGGCTTAAAGTGAAAATAATTACTCATAAGGGACAAAATTTTGAAAAATATTACAATCAAGTGTCCAAATTTATCATAATAACATTGTAAATTTTTAGTAATATAAAATTATATAAATGTGGATGTCTTTTGACATTTAAACGTTATCAGTATTGCATTTATTCCCTTAGCACCTTTCATGTAAAAATTGTAAACACTTTGTCGGTTTTAAAAATAATTTAACTTCCTCTACGAATAAAAATTGAGCTTATTCGATTCTAAATTTCTTCGATTAATGCAGAGTATCCTTCACAAATATTGATTCACTAGTTTGGTATAGTGATGGGATAAACATATCAGTTTAGACCGAATAATCATCACAATATCAATATAAATCGTATTTAACCTAGTTAAATTGTTTCTTGGTTAAAAGAAAGTTCATTAAGCGAAAGGCAAAGTATAAAATGTATAAATCAATACATATATACAGTTATAACGTCAAAGAACCACTATCATCATAACGCAAAATTATTTTGGCCTTTAATTGTAAATTTTTTAAAAAAAATTTGGGCTATTTGATTTTAATTTATTTGCATTAATTAGCCCATAAACATGTAGAAAATTTATTGCTTAAATAAACAAGTTTATGGATATTTAGCATTAAATTTATTCGTACTTTGTTAATTTGAATTAAAAATATTAGATTTGTGAACATTTATTATTTAATTATATTTAGCTGAGTTAATTTAGCATGTAGATATGAAGAATATTTATTTATCTAGGCATTTAAAATAAGATACTTGAGCTCATGAATATTTTCTTTTCAATTTTATTTTATTCATGATAATCTAGTGTATAAAATTTAATGCAAGTATTCAAAATAAGTTGTTCATGTTAATTAACAAAAATTTTCTTTACGAAATTTTGATAATAAAGTTCTTTATAACTTAATCTAACAGCAAACACTAACTCAGATCTAACAGCTAAAATTTTTTAGTAATATTTTTTAGGTTGCAATGCTAGAGTCTTATTGATTTTACATCCCTCCGTGCCGGAGGCACGGTACTTTTCTAATTTTATCAGAATACTAGTAATCAAAAAATAATAATTAGAGATACACTCGCCATATGTCAATTTGATAGTCTTATCTAATCCTTATTGTGGTTTTTAATTCAATTATTCAAGACATTATTTGTTTCACTTTCATCTTTGATAGAGAAGTTTTGAATTCTTGAACCTGATAATTATAAAATAGAATTAAAGATATAAGATAAGATTGAAGAAATATTCTATATGACAACTTACCACAGATTCCAGTTGATTGTATTTGTTCAGTTGAAGTTTTCGAATTATTGTTTTCTTAAATTTTGAATTTTTAGATGAATAAATATAATGTTAATGTGCTGAATAAAAGGCTTAAAAATTTACATACCCTCAGGATTAATAGTTTTAGTACCAATATTTGGCAAGACATTGGCGATTCCTTCTAACACATATTCGGTATCGGGACGTTCAGATGGATCAGCATCCCAGCATTTGCTATAAAGATACTTATATTCTTCAGGAGTTCCAGGAATTATTTCTTCTCTAACACCCTGAATTATGTTGATAGATAGAAGAATTATATTTGTTGGATTTTCGAATGGTGGATGACCACTAGACAATTCCCAAAATATCAAGCCAAGACTATATATATCTGTTTTTTTGCAATATCGTATATTATCCGATTTGGCTTGTTCAAGTAATTCGGGAGCTAAAAATGAAATCATTCCAAAAAGGCCATTATGTATATTGGTTTGTGTATTAATACTTGCTGCATTTCCAAAATCAGTTATTTTTGCCTTTCCATTATGGATAACGATGTTTTTATCATGCTAATAAATATTTTTGTAAGAGTTAAATCCTCAAGATAAAATTAAACAATAGTGCTCCGATAGGAATGATCAACCCGAACATGAAATATTACTGAAATTGATCGATAATGAGATATGTATTCATATTCGTTTTTTTTAAAAAAAAATATTAAGCTGAGTAAAAAAAGAACGAAGGTCTGAAATTTCGGGTTTATCAAATTGTGTTTCAGTCGGGATGAAACTTTATAACCGTACTCACAAATACTGTAACAAAAAGTTGCTCGTTTTCGAAATCTCTTTTCATCTTATAAATCATTTAGCTCCGAATAATTAGATGATTCTTAGGATGAAGCTGGGAGTCGAGCAATTTTTTAGCTTACCATTGAATTTATAAGAATAGTTGTAACTCAAAAGTTCTCAATCCGACTCGAACCGAGCCCACTCGGAGTACTATAGTAAAGATTGTTATTTAAGACTATCATACCAAATCTCTGTGAATAATTTCTTCACTGTGCAAATAGTATAATCCTTTCGTAATCTGATAGGCGAGTTCTAATCTTTGATGCCAATTCAATGAATGATTATTTTTTTTAGGAACCTTCGTAAATTTCCATCATTTGCATATTCCATTATAAGGAAATATCGATCATTGACAGTATCTACGCATAGTTATATAACTAATCAATTTAGATATGCAATTTTAATTAGTTGACAAAAAACATAAATACCTTTACTGACTCTCAAAAATCGAACAATGTTTTCACAAAGATCTGATCTTGTATGCATTGTTAACTCATGAATAAGTGCAGCGTAGTATTTGCCATTTATGTCTTTCAGGTTTGTTAATGCCTTACAAATGACATTACTATGCGTCTTTGTCCAATAAGCTTTGAATATGGTTCCTAAAAAATATATAATATAGGAAGTAAAATAACTATTTACTATTTATAATACTCTGGATACTTAAAAAATTTCAACATACCAAAGTGACCTTCATCATGCCTTGACATATTGCCTAATTCAATCCATAGCATTAATTTTATAGATTTTTTTTTAATTTCATTTTCTAATTATGAAATTTTAACTAGTATGCATCAATTAAATTTATTTTGAAATCAAAATTAAATGCACATTTAATTACCGAAAAGCTCATTTACTAGTTCTTCATCATCTAAATCGGTAGAATTTACAAGTGGTCTTGGAACACTGATTGGACCAATTTCTGTGCCTTCATTATAGTCAATTGGATCAGATTCATAAAATGCTGCAATATTATTTTTCCAATAAGCGAGAATCTTATAGATTTTTAAAGCAGATGGTCGTTTGGTTGGATCACTATCCCAACATCTTTTCATAAGGTCTGAATAACATGATATTGTGCCTTCACGGATAGTTGGTCGCAATCCATAATGAAGTTTTATGATCATCGAATACGTATTTCCAAATTCAGAAATAATAGACTGTCCAAAAGAAATTTGCCACATAAGTATTCCAAAGGAGTAGATATCTGATGCTTTGATGAATGTATTCTCGTTTAGAACTTCCGGTGCTGCATAGTAAATACTTCCAATTATCCCTGGTGATAGCTCATGGACTGATAATGATAATGAAAAGCTACTTAAATATGCATTATATATATCATACAGTAATATAGTTTTATTATGTAAATTGCAATGGATAATATCAAGAGAATGAATCAATTTAAGGTCATGAGCTATATAGAATAGCAAATTTACTTTTTCTATCCATTTCATTTGTGCAATTGAAGAAAGACTATATTTTAAAGAGCCCAATGGTATGTATTGAATGACCAAACAATAATCACCAGATGCTTCATCTTTCGTTATTCCATAGCAGTGAAGATATGTAGGATCCTTACATCCAACAATGTAGAATGCTTTTAACTTTTAAAATAAAAATTATTAATTTTTTTAATCAAAATTACATGCATTAAGTACAATGTTGAAGTTATTAAACATTTACCTCTTTCATAAGTTGCTTGCGGTTATCTTTTGATCCATAAATTAATTTTAGAATAACCATTTTTGTTCTTGCCCCATTTTTATGTAAATATGTCCATTCAGCAGAATACTTGGCAGAAAGTATAGCCTTTCCAATAATACGCTGTGTGTTTCTAAGTTCATTGAATGGAATCCAAAATAATTGATATTTGTTTTCAGACATTGAATTTTTTAAAAGGTTAATAAGATCAGTATCTAGACCTTCATAATCTACATGTTGACACTGATTACTTCTAGCTCTTCGCAAAAATTTCGCAGCCTCTTCCATATTTTGACATGTACCTTTACCATTCCTGTAACACAACCCAAGGTTAAATTGTCCACTGGGATTGTCACCTTTGGCTGATTTTAGAAACCATTTAAATGCTTTATTTTCATCTTTATTAGTACCTATTCCGCTTTCGAAACAACGTCCAAGATTATTTTGTCCACTATAATTGCTACCCTTAGCTGAATTTAAGTACCATTCAAATGCAGCACTTTCATTTTTATCAACACCTATACCATTTTCAAAGCACCAACCAAGATTATTGCATCCACGAGAGTTGTTTTCTTCTGCAGCCTTTAGATACCATTCATATGCTTTTTTTTCGTCTTTGTTAATACCTATTCCATATTGATAGCACCATCCTATATCGTTTTTTATTTCTGAACTTATGTCTTTAGTAGATTTTAAATATAGTTCAAGTGCTTCCTCATTTTTGACAATGTCTATATTTGAAAATATGCTTAGAGTTTTCCCTTCTCTATCTGATTCCATTTTATAAAAAGGCAATAAAATAAAGTATGCAATCTTGATCAACGCGCAATGTTAAAGATATCGATTGAAGGTACGGACTATTATGTACGTGCTGTTTTGTTTAAATACAAAGGTACGTTTATAAAATTGGTATGAAATTTTAGGAGCTATAGGGACGTCATGTAGTCAAATAAAGAACATTGTTTTATAGATAATGATAAAATTTTGAGATGTTGATCGTGATAGTGTGATTTTAGATTAAACAATATTCTTTAAAAAATTTCTAAGTGTAAAAATTTTTCGTCTCAAGAATACAGAATTACGATTTAAATGCTTTTTTTTTTTTCTAACGTTAAATACAAGCTTTTATTGGTTACGATGAGTTACACGATATTAGATTTCATATTTGTGTATTATTGCATATGGTGATACCATTCGTTTAATAATGGGCCCTAACATCTAGAGGAATGATATTTTTGCCCAAATCGTTCGTTTAAAACCATTAATACAGTTTATAATTAATTATGCAATAAGTTCGCTTTTTATTCCAAACACGTGCAATATTTTGCGTGCGCAAACTGCTGATTTATTTTTAAATTAACACAAAGTTTATCGTTAACACTAATACAAATGAACATAGTTTTTATTTTTTTACTAGCGTTCCTACAAAGTTGGACAAACATTTCTGAAGGTTCGGATTCGATCCAAAAACTGAATCGAATATAAGGTATCGGGATTTGCATGAATGGCGTGATCACGAATTAATTAAAAGTCTAAAATAGTGAATGCATGAACAATGTAGTAATAATTAGATTAGTAATAATAGTGATTGCATGAACAATGTAGTAATCATTAGCGATTAGTAAATAATAAATAAGCATATCGATTCCAGAGAGATCGATAGCCAGGTTAGGACGTTTTTCTTAGTGAATAAACATTGGTTCTCGATATCTTTTTGAATTATTCTTAGTGAATAAACCATTATCTGAGTGATCATATCGTATTGGTGGCAGTGTTGTCACTCGGACCGGACCAGGTAATCATGTCCGCCGGACAGTATGTAGATTGAGTTAACCGAAATTAAGTATGCTGCAATACTACCAAATAGAGGCCTGATTCGGTCAAAGACTAATCATTCGAATATTCGTTTGCTCAATTTTTAAATATCGAAAATTGATGATGAATATCCGAATAAGTTTATCGAAAATTTGATGTATTAATGTTTAGATTATCAAATATTTTAAAGTAATTAATTATTCAATAATCTAAACATTAACAATAAGTTTGTATATTTATGGGTAAGTTTAATATCGTATATACTCAGTGTGATTTGAGGAGGCAATGTCAATTTTATTAGTATTTGAGACTTTTTTTTTTTTGATTTCGCTTTCATCATCTGAAGCTAACTTTTCATTTCCACCATAAATATATTAAGCACTAACCGTTCTTGTGGATCTGAATTCATGCATTGATTTGTCAACTCAACATAGCAATCAGGAGACCAGAAGAAGAATTGGGCACAATCCTTTACAAACAGTTTAGTGCCCATCAAAAGAAAGCCCTTTGTCCGGTTGAAATTTCTGCTATAATAATATCAAGCCCATAATATCAGCTGCTTGTGTAAATTGCTGGTTTCCAGATTAAACTTAAGAAATATGACACTGAAAATACACTTTTTTTTATAGACAATCCTAGACCTGCAATATAAGACTTCGCACTTTCAGTAGTGCGTTGGTCTAGCAAAATGTTACCACTATGAAAATCAGCATGAATATCATGCATAATGGTGAATATTATCTAACTCACCTGAAATATCCTAAGTATTTGTAATTTAGTCTTCCATGTAAGTTTACTAAAATTCATTCTTAAATATTTATAAAGACTCCCCTTAATGTTGTTTTAGTATTTCTGTCAAAAAGTCTTTGTCCGGTTGACCTTTCTGTCATAATAATACCAAACCTATAATATCTGCTGCTTGTGTAAACTGCTGTTTATCTGATTAACCTTTAAATAATCCTAGACCTGCTATATAAGATTGTGCATTGTCTAGCAAAATATTACCACTATGAAAATCAACATGAATGTATCGTGCATAACAGTGACCTGAAATATTCTTAAGTATTTGTAATCTGGTCTTCCACGTAAGTTTACTAAAATTCGTCTTAAATATTTATAAAGACTTCTATTAATTAGTATACTGATTGTTTCTGTATTTTTGATATGATTTTTGATGTACAACAAGGATAAAATGAAGGAGCAATGTAAGTAAATGCATGTCAAGCTGCAATTATGTGTATGTACCTGATTTCGGTGACAGGTCAGCAGGTCACAAACTCGGACATTGTCTGATGTCCGTGTCCATAATATGTCCGTGTCTGATAAATATTGCGCAGACAATGTCCGGTAAAATTTATTGATTCGGACGTAATTCGGACACAGACATCGGACAATGTCCAAAAATGTCTGGTTTGTCAAAAATTACTTAGACATCGAAAATGTACAACACTGGGTGGTAGTTAGAGATGGGCAAGTTTAGTAATGTATTATTACTTATAATTGTTAATTAATTAATTAATTCTTATCATTTTTTACATAATAAGTAATAATATGTAAATTTTAAAAATCAAATATGCTATATTGATATATATTAAATCAAATACAGAAATCAATTTATAATTTTTTATTTATATGTTAGCATAAGATAAGATATATCAATTTTTTTGTATATAAATTATAGCTTGTTATTGTGCAAAAATTTTACTGCTAAATATGTGTAGTAATTCTACAGAAAAAATAACCATAATTTTTTAAAGCGAAACACTGTCAAGTTTTTCAAGAAGAAACCAATTCTCTAAAGTATTTTCATACTGAAAGTTGACTTGAGAAGAAGATTGAGTACTACATTCACTAGTTGCTTTATTGTAAATGATTTCATCATTAGCATTAAACTCTTCAATATTCTCAATTGTTTTCATTATGTTTTCTTCTGGATTTTCTAATTGTTCTTCTAAATTATAAAACTCATCATTTTCTAGATCAAATGATTCATTATTAGAATTAATTAATTTGGTTTCATTTTCATTATTGTTAAATTGTTGAATAGCTTGAGACTTTTTAGCATTATGATTTTTAATATTTTCATCTTGAATCATGTGCCAATGAATACAAGTTAACTTGCTTGCACGTTTATTGGTTAATCTGTTACGTTGCAAAGAATGGATATTTGATATAACTGACCAAAAACATTCACAATCAGCTAAAGTAAGAGGTATTGACATTATATAAGTAGCAAAAATTGACAATTCTGGCACTTTATTTTGTAAATTATTCCAAAAATATATTGGATTACTAACCAAATATTCATCCCAATTATCTTTGAAATCAAAAGAATATTCTTTGTTATTCCAATTAATTAATTGCATGCAAAATTTTCTAATATCTTTATTAGAAAATAAGCTTTCAAATAAAATGCTTAATTCTTTTTTTATAATAGTTGTAAGTTCTGGATAAATAATTTTTGTAAGAACATATCTCGGATGTAGTGACCAACAAATAAGCAAAATTGGATTATACAGTCAAACCTCTATAAATACAACTTCATAAATGCAATATCTTTCTGAATGCACGTTCCTGGCCTGGCTATATAAGAAATCATTAGTGCCAAATGCACGTTCTATATTCTGCAAATGCACATTCACTCAAAAGATTTTCTAAATTATACTAACCTCTCTAAATGCACGTAGCCAATCAGAATTCAGTATTCAAGTTGTGTTACACAAGACTGCAGATCAAATATTAAAAGCTGCAATTTAATTGGCTTTCTCTAAATGCAAACCTCTCTAAATGCACGATTGATGCTAGTCTGTACACAGTGCACTTATGGAGGTTTGACTGTATATTCAATTCTATCTATGTTGAATACATGTATTAACATACAGGGATGGCATGTTGTGATATTGGACATTTGGACATTTGGACAATATCTAATTGTCCAAATAATTTTATTGAATATAGTAACTTTTTTTATTGAACATTAAAAAAAAATTAATTTAATCTTGGTCTAAATTAAACTTAATTCAGGCCAATATTCACCAATACAAAATATCTCTAATTTTATTTATATGTATGTATTCACACTATTGAATTAACTTAAATTACATTTTACTTACAACATGTTTATATATGTACTTGGTATTGCCCTATTGAAATATAATTAATCAAATAGAATGCTAAAAACTATAAAATAATTTGTATTTCAAAAGGAATAATGACAACAGTTGATTTTAATTTTAATTTTAAAATAAAGGCATATTATAAAAGAAAGCACACCAAATTAAATAAATTATCCAAGGTCGTCACTTTGAATTAGAAACATTCATTAATAAATTATCATTGTAAATTAAAGAGTAAAAAAAGTTTATAAGAAATAAAAATAAAATTAGTAAACGTCATTATTATAGTTAAAAGCAATAAAGCTTTTGTCATCATATTATTAAAATTGCTCAATAAAATTATTGGACAATTGGATATATGTCCAATTGACTATTTTGACATATGTCCAATATTCTTACAATTTATTTGGACATTGTCCAATGCCTGAAGGCGCAAAAAATTATTTGGACATTTGGACTATGTCCAATTGTCCAAATATCTAATTGTCCAATTAAATTTATTTGAACATTGTCCAATGCCAACCCTGTTAACATAAAGTTAAAAATCTTTGTTATCAATCATATTGGTATTTATTTGTGTTTTAACTAGTGTAGCATATTGAAACTCTAAGATGATAGAAGTGAATATGGCTTTAATATATAAATTATAACTCTTAAATATTCCAGAATTCATTGTTTTTTAGTATTAATATAATAGTTTTATCAAATTGATCTTTTAAGTATTGCTCTTTATTTTGTAATTGTTGTAATAAAGTAAAAAAAGAATTCCATCAAGTAAAAGTTGGAAGAGTAAATCTAAATGTGTTATCACTAGAGTGAGCTTGAATAATTTGAATAGCCTGAGTGCTTTTTTGAAAAAATACAATAATTTTAATAGCAGAACTTATGATTGATTTCATATATGTATGCTTCAACATATTACTGACCAAAAGATTTGATTCATATGCAATACATGGTAAAGCTATAATTTTAGGATATTGTTGTACAAGTATAATTTTTATATGAACATAATTTGCAGCACTATCTGTAATAACTGCATTAGTTCGTTCAATTCCAATTTGCATTAAAACTTCTTCTAGATCTTTAAATATAGTAATTGATGTTTGACTTTCTCCTAATGTGTCCTTAATTTTAATAAGCTCTGATCTTTGATCCTTTCCAATAGCAATAAAATTCACAAGATGATCCTGTCAAATATTTGTCCATCCATCTGTCATGATAGTAATCCAATTAGACATATTAATAAATCATTGAATTGAGGTTTGAATATTTTTATAAACATCATTGAGAATATTTGTAGAAAGTTGTTTTCTTGCAGGAACATGATACCAGTTATTTATAGAATAAACAAATTCTTTAAATTTGCATGCATCTACAAGTGAAAGAGATGCACCGCCTTCTATAATACCTTCTAATAATAGTTGATTAGATCTGCATACATCTATTGGTAATTGTGTAGGTATCTGACTTGTATTTTTAAAAATATCATTGGTTTTGCTCATATTATTATTGGAAAAAGTTGAAACAGAATCACAATTCAAAACTGACATAAAAGGTGCAATCGATCTATCTGATGAATAAGAATTGTCTTGATGCTGATTATGTTCAATAATTGGAACTAACTTTTGTTGACAGTTGTGAGCATTAATAAGGTAAGCTCGGACATCTGGATGAATTTTCTCATATTTTTTAATATATGAAATCATCACTGCTGCAGTACCAGATATAGACTTGTTGTGGTTACAAAATATGCAGCAAGCTTTAGGTTTTTTATCATCAGTCTTAATTGGGTCAAAAGCTTGCCAAAGAGGACCTGGGGATGACCAACAGATCCATTTGAAAGCTTGCGCAATAAATGTTGTATTTCAGGATTTGGTGGTGGCCAATTTGGCATTGCAAAAATACAAGACAATGGTATCGGTATTTGATAATTATTAATCTCATTTATTATTTATTATATACATCGTTATTAGTGATACAATATATACGTAATAATTAATAATCACTATGCAATCTCAACAATACGTAATAATTAGTAATAGTTAGTAAGGGGTAAAAAATAAGTAATGATTATGTATTTTATTACCTTGCCCATCTCTAGTGGTAGTATCTGGTACGATACTGCAGTCATCGTATATTAGCCAAGCGAGTGAAGATTGATAGTAAAGACCCACGAATACACGGTAATGTTAAGAAACTCTGTGACAATATGGATGGCAAAAATTATTTAAAATGATTAAGGCGTTTGATTTTTATTAGGTAATACATTATGTTTAATTTTAGCATCGGTCTTTGGATGCAATTTTTTTAAAAATCGTTGCCATTTAAAAAATATATTTATATCTTCTAAATACATTACGTAATAAAAATTAAATCGGCTTTAAATTGATTTAATAAAAAATCAGTTATTTATAACATTGTGATTTAAATCAAGAGCCATCCCTAGTTGCGCAGTTTCCAAAAAGTTAGTGCCGAGAATTAAATATTCAAGAAACGCGCAATTTTTAGCTTATGAAAACAACTATAACCCAAAAAATTTTAAATCCTCATCGAACCCGATCTGTTCGGTGTGCTACAGTAGAGATCGTTATTTAATGATATCTTACCAAGTCTCTGTGAATAATTTCTTCATTGTGCAAATAATATAATCCCTTTGTAATCTGACAAGCCAGTTTTAATTTTTGATGCCAATTCAATTAATGATTATTTTTTTTTAAGGTACGTTCGTATTTACATATTCCATTATAAGAAAACATTGTACATTGATAGTATCTACGTAATATAACTAATCAGTAATCAATTAAGTACGCAACTAAATAATTGGACAAAACATAAATACCTTTACTGACTCACAAAAATCGAACGATGTTTTCACAAAGATCTGATCTAGTATGCATTGTTAACTCATGAATAAATGTAGCGTAGTAGTTGCCATTTATGTCCGCCAGGTTTGTTAATGCCTTACAAGTGACATTACTATGCGTCTTAGTCCAATAAGCTTTTAATATGAATCCTAAAAAAATAAGAAAGTAAATAACTATTTACTATTTATAATATTCTGAATATTCAGTATAATTACTAAATTTCAACATACCAAAGTGACCTTCATCAAGTTTTGAAATATTACTTAACTCAATCCATGGTATGAATTTTATTGATTTTTTTTAAAAAATTTCATTTCTGAAAATGCAAATTTTGTCTTGTATCAATTGATTAAATACTATAAATTTTGAGGTCAAAATTAATGCAATTACCGAAAAGTTAATTTACTAGTCCATCTTCATCTAATTCATTGTAATTTATGAATGGTTTTGAGATACTGGTCAAATCAATTTCATTGTCTTCATTATAGTCGATTGGAACAGTTTCATAAGCTGCAATATTATTTTCCAATTAGTGAGAATCTTGAAGCGGATGGTCGTTTTGTTGGTCACTATCTCAACACCTTTTATAAGGTCGGAATAATATGATATTATGTTTTCTCGGATAATTAGTCGTTTTCCGTTAAAAATTAAAGCACGCGAATTTGCATATTCTCTATACTCTAAAATAGAGGACCGTCCTGAATAAATTTGCCACATTAGCATCCCAAAGGAGTAATATCCGATGCTTTTTATATGACTTATCAGCAAAAATTTACGGTGCTGTATGAAAAGCACTTCCAATTACTTTTGATTTCGTCAATGTTATCTCATGAACTGACAATGAAAGCTACCTATATATGCGTTATGTAATCATATTGCAATATGGTACCATCTTGTAAATTGCAATGGATAATGTCAAAAGAATGAATCATGTGCTATGTAGGATAATAAATTTACTTTTCTATCCATTCCATTTGTGCAACTAAAGGAATATTATGCCCTAAAAAACCTAATGGTGTGTACTGAGCGACTAAACTATAATCGCCAGTAACTTGATATTTTGATATTCCATAGCATTGAAAAAATGAGGGATCCTTACATCCAATCTCGTAGTATGTATACCTTTAGCTTAAAAGATAAAGTTTTAGTTTATCTAGTTAAATTATACTTTATGCATAAAGTACTGTGTTTATCAAATACCCCTTTCATGAATATCCCGTAGTTTTTTGATTCAGGAAACCGTTTCAGAAACACTGTTTTTGTTCTTGTCCATGTTTATGTAAATGTGTCCATTCAGCAAAATACTTGATAGAAAAAGCTCCTCTTCTACAGTTTTTTTGCTTATTTATGATTCTTAGTTCATTGGATGGAATCAAGAATAATTGATACTTGTTTTCAGACATTGAATTTTTTAAAAAGCTAATAAGAACAGTATCTAAATCTTCATAATTTACATGTTGCACTTATTACTTCTTGCTTTTCTAAGAATCTTGCAGCATCTTCCATATTTTAACATGTACCTATTCCATTTATATAGATATGCCAAGATTAAATTGTCTACTAAAATTATCATTGTTTGCTGATTTTAAAAACCATTTAAATGCTTTGCTCTTATCTGTATCAATACCTATTCCGTTTTCGTAGCAACGCCTGAGATTATTTTGTCCACTAGAATTACCGCCTTTTGTCGATTTTAAATACCATCTAAATGCCTTATTTATTTATCTTTATAGATGCCTATGGCATTTTCAAGTACTAACCAAGATTATTACACCACGAAGATTGCCTTCATATGCAGCTTTAAAATCATTCATATGCTTTCTTTTCATCCTTGTTGATACCTATTCCATACTGATAGTACCATCCTATATCAGTTTTTATTTCTGAATTTATTTTATTAGTAGATTTTAAATATAATTCTAGTGCTTCCTCGTTTTTGGTGTTGGCTATATTTGAAAATATGTTTAGAGACTACCCTTCTCTATCTGATTCTATTTATATTTAGAAGACAATGTAATAAAGCATATAATCATGAACAATGTACAACTGACAAGTTATATAGGTACTGTACGTACGTATGCTACCACGTACAATGCAAGAAGAAAGCATTCACAATTTACAATTTTATATTACCTTTACAAAAAATATTACAAATCATTGTGTTGTAATTATATGACAAATAATTTGAGTTACAATAAATTAATTTGCTCATATAAATAAGTAATGATGAGGGTTGAAATTAAAAAAAATTTAAATGATTATATAATCGAGTAGTATAAAAAATTTATCTAGATGTTGTACTGTAAAATTACAAGCAGCGGAAAAAAAACAATTGCCGTAGTTCGAATTTAGTGGCAATTCTTGAATGTGTGCCAAGTTGGTGGCGCATTAATCAGTTGCGCCAATTAAAAAATTCCAATGATATTTGTGTTCTTTACTTTTAAATTATAATTTTCAAAAATTTTTACAGACAAAACGTCAAAGTTCTTAATATAATACGCGTATAAAAAAAATATTGGCTTTAAAAGTATGATAATAAATCTCAAATAAACACGTACTATATAGTTTACAAAAATAAAAAAACTCTTTAAATTGAAAAAAAAACATTTCTCATAATCTACTCTGAATTGTATCTTTAAAAAAAAAACATTACTCATAATCTACTTTGAATTGTATTTTAAAAAACCCTATAAGAAAAGTGG